TTGTAAAAGAATTGTGGATAATGGAGCAAATTTGAGATTATACACGTATCGCTCGACGAATCGTAGCTTAGCTGTAACAGCATACGTACGCAGCGGATTTTCAAGCTCGATTTTCTCGAAAACTAAGCAGATAAATCGAACAATTTTATTCTATATATATTTTTTACTTTTTTATAAAGAATCACGTCGTGCCTACTTTTACATGTTATTCGTCCAAACCCTGTATACATATGCATAGAGATTTTTGAAAATTCCTACAAAAAATTACACAATACAACTTATATCTTCGTGAATGTTAATGAGCATGGAATATGCGCACGGAATTGTAACTCTTCTGACAGATAAATTCATCGTTCGTAAATGCTTCTTTTTTCTTCGCATTTGCGATTGCGAAGGCAAGTTATTTAATTTCGTGTCTGCTAATGGATAAGCGGTAATGATAATACATCTGGGATGTCTTTTTTTTCTTTTTTAAAGTCATTCAGTCACCTTCATACTATAGGATACGTGCACGGGGAAGGCCGTGGAATAATAGAGATATTGTCTGTCTGGCAATGTGTTATTCTCTATCTTATAACGGTACAGACTATCGTAAATCTCGTAAAACCGGTGTACAGGTATTATACTGGATTATGTCATACGATCTATTGTCTTCTTGTGCCTCTATTTTTATACGCGCGTTGCATCGGAAAAACGAGTCGCTATTAGTTATTTTCACTGGAAAATTAGGTATGCGTTACATTGTTTGACGTTATACATATATAACATGTATGTATAACATAGTTTATATTTGCAAATGGAATTTTATAAAAGAGGATATTTTATCTGCATTACGTGTGTATTGCGTTTAATGCTTTATATATTTTCTGTATAATGTTTATTTATACTTGTATATAACATTTATTAATTGACAAAAATTATACAAATAAAGGCATTTTATAGTATCGTGTGCTGCTGAATAATAAATAAACATGATTTTATAACATGAGAAAATGAAACGTAACAATAATAAAATACAATAATAAAATTTGTAAATGACTTGTTGTGACTTACGATATATTTAATATTATTAACGCAGACGATAATAATACATCCTAAAACATAAAAAATAATTATTAATAATTCCTATATAATTATAATCTCTCTACATAGTCCATCTTCTCTAATCTCCAATATTGTATGGTATCTGTTTGTTACATTTATATTTGGTCATTGAACTTCTGAATCTTTTCTTTTCATCTTTTCATATAAATATTTTGATAGTTCTTTAGTAATTATATTTTTGTATAATATATATTATTATATTTGGATTTGTTTTGCGCACCCAATCGTGTAATAAAAAATCAATATAAATTGCGGAGAAAGTTGAGTAAAAATATTCCAGATATTTGTGCATATCACGTGTCGGATGGCGGTCAGTAAAGTCGCGATAGGGTCAGTGGGACAAAGTCACAATAGTTATCATCTACTTGCTGCTCAATACAAAGGACGGTGAAAGCAGCATAACGAGAACGAGGTAGGACGTAGGGTGAGAGAAAGTACGAAGATTGACCGGGAAAGCGAAGGTAGGCGAACAAGGGGAGACTCGAGAATTCTCGATCGAGTTTTCCGCTGTCAGAACCGGGTGGTGGTGCGTCGTGAAATGCTGAATAGGACAACCGAGACAATGGGAATAGTACGTGGGACAATTACACGCCGAGTTTTCCAAGTAATTAAGTCGTCGGCCCGCCGTTATGCGAAAGCAGTTTTCGTTCGTGCATTCGTCTAGCGCATCTTCAAATCCTTGTGATACTGGGAAGATGGGTTGGTAATCACACACAACTACAGTTCTCGCCTCTTAGAATAAAGATAAGGAAGTTCTTTCGCAAGAGTCATGCGCGTTTAATACGAATAAAGAAGTTATTATTTATATCGCAGATAGCAATGTAAATAAATCGATAGACTAAATTTTTTCGACATCGCAGATAGGCTGTATTTTATGATCTTACGGGTGAGTGCATTATCTTGAAATAAATTATTTTAATTGCTTTAATTCAAGAAAGAAAATAACGTTCCGAATGAGTTTTACAATAATTCAAATTTGAAAAATCATATTTATAGAGGAGAAGATGGTATATTATGGTACATAGATTTACAGATATTGTTTTCTTTAATATATCCACTATTATTGTATATAATTATATGACGTGTCACGTCATATAATTAAAATTGTATAATATATTTAAAAAGATATTGTGATTAATTGCAATTAGTTTAATTGTAACAATTTACCGAACACATGTTTATTAAGTTGTAATTTAATTATTTAAAGTTTTATATATATATATATATTGAGGATAATCTAATGAAAGATCGAAACGTTTAACATTATGTTTATTTTATTTTATTATTAAAAACATTAGTTTTTTAAAAACTAATGTTTTTCACATTGACATCCAGTGTAAACTTACATGTTCTTTACAGCTTTAATTATTTTAGTTGTATATGCCGTTCTTAGTTATTAAATACAATAATTTAATTTCCCATTCTAATAAATTCGGTTCGAATCGTCGAATACTCGAATCTGTGCGCTCTTTACGCGAAATAAAAAAAACTATGTACCAAGAGAATGAAGGGAGGAGCAGAAAGGTCAGACTGATTCACTTGGGCCATCTCGCCGATGGCAAAATAGCATTTAGGATAAAAGCGTATTCGGGGGGCGGTCAGATTGAGCGGCCGTCGAGCTTACGCCAACAAAGTGAACACAACGTACACGTTTTGCAAGTCTGAAATTTCCCGACTGATTGAACAAGAGTTGTGTCCTACCTGTCATCTCGACTCTAATTGCTGAATCTCAGAATTTAATTCGCTGTTTTAAAAGTTGTAACGATGTATTTACGTGAGATCTTGCTTTTTCTGACTATTGATTTTTATCGCATATAATGAATAGAAAAAAAAACATGTGATTACACAAAGGCAATATCAAATGGGGAATACCATCCGAGAAATAAAGAATTATTACAAATGAGGCATCTAATGAGTTGCTGCAGACATCTGAGTGTTAAAGTAGACAGCAGATTTATACAGAGATTTCTGCAATATTAATAAGAAATAGCAATTATTAACTATTTGCAATTTCTATAGCTAATTCATGCACTAATGAATTTAATTATAAAACAATTTTCCAATTGCACTTAGAAATTACAAAAAAAAAGTAAAATAAAGATAATATAAAGATAACATACATAAAAAAGATTTTATCGTAGGATATAAAAATTTAGCTAGATACAGATCTAAATAATTTTGTTGACCATCAAAAAATAATTATATAGGACATTCAAACTAATTGTTAGAATATCAAAAATTTTTGCAGCATTGCTCCTCATGCTCGAGATTCTTACGTATAAGGCGTATGACTTTGCTCATGCGGTTTTTTTCCGAAATTCGAGGCATTATTGTAAAAAACTGGTTATACATTTATGATTCAAAGTATTGTCCATCGCTGGCCACTACTTTTTCCCATCTTTCGGGCAGCATACGAATCCCGCGTCGAAAAAACTGGTCATCTTTTGAGGCGATCCACGAATCGATCCAATTTTTTACTTCTTCATAAGACCGGAAGTGCTGGTCAGCCAGGTCGTGTGCCATTGATCGAAACAAGTGATAGTCAGAGGGAGCAACGTCTGGAGAATACGGCGGGGTAGGACTTCCCATTTCAATGTTTCCAAGTATGTCTTGACCACTTTCGCAACATGGGGTCGAACATTGTCATGCTGCAAAATCACTTTATCGTGTCTCTCGTTGTATTGCGATCGTTTGTCTTTCAATGCTCGGCTCAAACGCATCAATTGCGTTCGATACTGATCGCCTGTGATTGTTTCAGTCGGTTTTAACAGCTCATAATATACTACGCCGAGCTGGTCCCACCAAATACAGAGCATGATCTTGGAGCTGTGAATATTCGGTTTGGCCGTCGACGTGGAAGCATGGCTGGGAATTCTCCATGATTTTCTGCGCTTGGGATTATGAACCCATTTTTTCGTCCCCAATCACAATGCGATGCAGAAAGCCCTTCCGCCTTTGCCTTTCAAGCAGCTGTTCACAAGCAAACAAACGTCGTTCAACATCTCTCGGCTTCAACTCGTACGGCACCCAATTTCCTTGCTTCTGAATCATTCCCATGGCTTTGAGACGTTTTGAAATGGCTGATTGAGTCACTCCTAATGATCGTGCCAATTCTTTTTGATTTTGACAAGAGTCTTGATCAAGTAATGCCTTCAATTCTGCATCTTCGAAAACCTTCTCTCTTCCACCTCTATGCTGGTCTTCGACGTGAAAATCACCGTTCTTGAAGTGTTGAAACCACTTATGACACGTTCTTTCACTAATAGCGGCTTCACCATAAATATTTGAAAGCATTCGATGAGCCTCAGCCGTAGATTTCTTCATATTGAAGCAAAAAATTAAAACCTCCCGCAAATGACAAGAATTTGGCTCGTAAACTGACATTTTCAATCGAGAATAACTTTATGATGCAGACACAAATCGACTAATGTTTCTTTTTGGATTATGTTGACAGATTCCCAAGTTTATTGTGTAACGTCTATGATCTATTTATTTCGATCACCACTTACCGCTAAAGCCATCTATACGAAAACCGAATGAGCAAAGTCATACACCTAATAATTATTGTGATGATTTAATAAAATTATTTTCGGATCTATATCTAGCTAAATTTTTAGATCCTATAGCGAAATCATTCTTTTCATGCAATAAAAAGTAATTACATGCTGTCAAGAAGAAGTTCCATTAATTTTCTCACACTATATTAAAATTCTGAGTAATGTTGTTAATGATAATGAATGTAGTTTTTATGTGTATGTATGCATAACCGCATGAAGATCTGACGCAATAGAATTAGAGAGAGACAATAAATATTATTTTTTAAAACAAATTACTGACAAGGTCTGGTAATAAAGAAGTGGATATAAAAGCGCAGAATGTTTCGCCGGTAAGATCAGTTCATGAAATAAAGTGTAAGAATTATTAACCATGTCTCGCGCTAGTTTCGTATTGTTTGTGATGATCGGAGTGCTTTACAGTAAGTTTTCGCATGAATTCATTGAGTTTCCTCAGTCCACGACTAATTCGATCTTTCATAAACAATTATTGTATCTTAATTCTCTTTTTTAATTGTATAACTTTAATGTTATAATTGAACTTGTCTTATGTAATACTGTATATACACAGGCACGACTATCGCACAGCCGCGGTGTGGGAGAAATCAAGAGTGGAACACTTGTGGATCGGCATGTCCACCATCTTGTGATTCATCACCTAATCAATTCTGCACATTAGTATGTATTATTTAATTGTACTAAATACGCTAATTCCATTGAAAGCTTTACTTCTTTTCAAGATTAACTGTAGAATATTATCCTAATTATATATGTACATTGCAATAAAATTTTCGATAAAGATTTCGATATTTTACAATACTATTCTTGTTTTAGCAATGCGTGGTAGGATGCCATTGTAAAAGGGGATATGTGTTAAATTCTTCAGGAGAATGTGTGCGTCCTTCACAATGTTAGAAATTAATTGTGTATACTTACTAAAGAGTTGATAACTTTTTCTTTAACGTCAATGAGATTTTTACTAAGCATTTTTAACTAAAAATCGATATGCCAATAAGTATTACATGTATTAGATGTAATGCGATATAATTATTGTTGCTTGTATAATTATTAATTAATGATAAAAAAATAACAAATTAAGATTTTATTATAAATATTTATCTCTCTATTAATATTAGATATCTATATTTTTGTGTAAATTTAAAATAACTAAAAATAAAAATTGCATGATAATAATTTTTTTAAATATAAATAGCAAATGATTAAGTTGCATGCGTGTGTCTTATGAATTTTCTTTACAACAAAAAGAACACAATAAATTGTTTTTTTTTTACAGATAATTAATAATATTATGTAAATGTTATATTAAGTCTGTACAAACAATAAATAAACTCTATAAATTAGTCTCGAATAAAACTATTGTATTTTCATCCAGTATAAAAAACGAGAGAAACGCGAGAAGTCAATATGATAAAACTTTTTATGAGTATACTCAATACTTTATTTTTACATTCACTTTTTTGTAATAATATTTTGTATTAATGAATTTCCAATAATCTTTCGAAACTATTGAGAGAGAATAGTGTATAGAATAAATCTTGGCATTTTATTAAGTGCTAAAATAGTGTTAAAATCTTGGCATTTTATTAACTTTTTTTAAAAGTTATCAAACACTTGTATCAAAATTAATTATAGTACAAAAGCCAGTATCGATTTAAAGTATGGAGCAAAGTCTAACATGTAGTATCGAAATCATATCAACATGTCTTGCTGTTTTTTTTCTTATTACATAATATATCAAAAATTATATTTATATAATGTAAAATTATATAATGTCTTGTGTATATAATGAAATCATTATAATCTATATATTTTCAACTTCATAAAGCTTATTTATAGATAGATTATACGAAAATATTATAATATAAATTTTAGAATAATTTTTTTTATTTGGAGAATAAAGAAAAGAATGACGTAGAAGACGACATTTACTTTTTTTCACTTCTTGTCAGATTTCTAAGAAGTGGACGATTCGTACGTCATTGCTGTTTAAATAATAAAAAAAGATTTCATGGACAGACTTCACGAAATAAAATATTAGCAAATATTGAACATACATTAAGAGAGATGCCGCATACAAATATAATTAGTATGCAGCAATAATATAATTAATTATCTACATATTTATTATACATAGATGTATAATTATTGTTTAAAATAAATTTTTCTTTATAAAGAAAGTGCGAGGATCAATTTTTTTGCAAATATGTAAAATTAAAGAAAGTAATTTTGATGTTATCCTACATATAATCATACTTATCTACATGAAAAGAATATAAACCTACTCAAAGACATATACATATATACAGTATCAGTGAGAATGCTTCTATCTTATTTTTCGAAAATAAGTGAAATTGTTTTTATATATGTTACATTTCTATTGGTTATTAAATTAACTGATATTTAAATTTAAGTATTTATTTAATATTTTGATATTCACAAAACTTTTTTTATGTCTAAATGTGCACTCTTCAAACTAAAGAGAATTGACAATCATTAATAAATGATTAATAGTTAAAAGTCCATAATTACAAATAATAATTGACCTAATCATAGACATAAACGCAATTAAAAATTACGTTAAAAATTACGTTGGAAGTAAAAGACTTCTATTCATATTCGCAATCATGAAGAAACTATTAAGTCTAAATTTAACATTGATGTTATTTTAGATTAACAAACATCTGATTTTATCCAAAGACATCTGGTTTAATAAATCCAAGACTTTTAAATTGGTATTGGATTATGAACTTACCGGTAGGCAACAGTTTAAAATTCATATCGTGCGTTTTGATAACGGACCGAACTTCTGTCAGTAGTCACGTATAAAACTGAATGTGAGAGAGTCTATTGAAAGAAAGAAGGAAGTATGTCCAAAAAATATCTCTCTCGGGAGACGTGTCGCGGTCGAAGGCCACCCACTATCGTATATGTATATAAGTTCAGTGGAACGGAAAGTTATCATCAGTTTAGTTCGAGTTGTAAGAGTGCAAGCAACACTTATTCGAAGACACAGCCATGGTCCGTGCCGTAGTTTTCCTCTTGCTCATTGTGGCAGTCGCCACCATCGGTAAGTCTAACATAATAATAATCAAAATTATTAAATATAAATTATTAATAATAGAAATAGATAAATTAATAGAAAATTTACTACAATTATAATTACAAAAGTAAGATTCCTTATGACAATAATAATTAAATAATGAGTAAGTTGGGCAATTAGGATCAGCGCTATAAGTGGTACGTATGGTATACTTAAATGATTAAAATCGTTATAGTCTAATAATATATTTCTACAATTCAATAACGTACATTTCGATTAAATTCTAGCCTTCTTTAGCGAATAAATTTCCAAAGTGTGTTTCATTGACTGATGTGTGCGTAGATGTATATTCAAGGTCTTAATTTTTTTAGACCAGCTCACCAACTGGCCATGGGAAAATATATGGAAGATTAATTAACGGAATCTACGCACATATCAATCAATGAAACATAACTTTGGAAATTTATTCGCTAAAAAAGGCTAGAATTTAGTCAAAACATTATTGAATTGTAGAAATATATTATTAGACTATAATGATTTTGGTCATTTAAGCGCACTCACAGCGTCGATTCCTAATTACCCAATTTACTCATTATTTAATTTTACTACGATTGATTTTATCTTGATACTATCATAATTTATAATTCATAAGATTGTACAAACGTTAGATTGATGCGCAAGATCATAAATAATCGAATCTGTTAAATAAAGATACAGATAACGTTAAAGTTCCAATAACGTTAAAGTATGATTATAATCTCTAGCCTTACTTCTTTTATTTAAAAAGGAATTTTTGAATCTTTTATTCAAACAATTTACATTTATCAAAAAAAAAAAAAATTCGAAAAAATTTATTTATAATACAAAATCTAAAGAAAAAGAACGAATCTTACAAGATAACCTACTTGATCGATTAACCGATCATTAACAGATAGAATTGTATACACTGTAAACGTAGAATAAGTTTTCTGCTGATAACAAGCATGTATAACTTGATAACAGCTATTTTATACAGAACTCATTGCAGAAGATACGTTTATAAAGTAGAGAAAGTGCGGAATTAAAGAATATTTTACATAATGATAATATTTGTCTTTAATATAGGATATATAATTAACCTTTAACTATGTTTGTGTAGATGCTGCGCCTAATTGCGGTCAAAACGAATATTTCAATAGCTGTGGTTCATCGTGTCAACCCACCTGTCAAAATCCAACACCACAAATCTGTACCCTGGTTAGTATTTCAGTTTGCATTCTCTAAAGAAAAACATACGTTTAAAAAAATTTGTTAAACAATCTTGTTAAATATTTTATAAAATTTTTTTATGTTGAATTTTTATAAATAATAAGTTTAATTTATGTATATTTTTAGTAAATAGAATTTATAACTATATTTAAAACTTTAATTTTGTTTAAATGCATTCTTTGATATATTTATATTTGTTTTATTTTAACAACAAAAAATTCAAAAACCAGGACGAATGAGAGTCAGCGTGGTAGTTAATAGGCAAATGTAATCTTAGAACTTTATTCCAAAAAATATCTAGTACGTTTCGGTTTACTTTGAAATCTCAGCAGTATAATCTCAAAATATAACTCCTTTCATGTCCAAGGAAAAAAATCATCATATTTACAATAGAGATTATAAATTTTAATTGTTCAAGTATGATTTTGGATCCAATGTTTGAAACGAATTCTTTTTATGTTTTGGAATTTTACAACATCAAATCTGTAAATATGATGATGATGATTTTTTTCCTTGGACATGAAAGGAGTTATATTTTGAGATTTAATTGCTGAGGATGATTCCAAAGTGAACCGAAACGTACTAGATATTTTTTGGAATAAAGTTCTAAAATTACATTTGCGTACTAACTACCACGCTGATTCTTATTCGCCCTGGTTTTCTAAATTTTTTTGTTGTTGAATTTGGGAGAGTTCATAAGAAGAATACATTATTACTATTTGTTTTATTTTGTTTTATAGGCATGTGTTGCTGGATGCGAATGCACGGACGGATATGTAAGAAATGCGGAAAATCGGTGTATACCTGCATACAATTGTTAATCATTCAGAAAATATGATTTTCCGACGAGTATATTTCGCATTACATAAAACATACAAATATAACAGGCATAAAAACCTTCTCACAAATTAGCTTATTATATTATAGATTTGTAATTGTACTCATTAATCTGAACAATTGTAGTGTATTAAATAAGTGTACTGAATTGTTTAATTTTGTAAAGTTAACATTGAGTTTCATGTTTTTAATAAAAAATTGAAAACATAAAAAAACTTTATCACAGTCTAGAATCCTATACGTATCCATGACTACGAATTTTATTAATATCATAAACATGTAGCAATTGTACATTTTAAATTTAAAAAACAAAAATAATATATACACGAGAAAAGAAATAAATAGGAAATTAAACAGTAAAGATAAATGACAATTTTTTTCATAATTCTCAATAAAATAATCATAAATAATTTTCTCTTATGGAGAATATAAATATATACTGTAATAATTCTGATATGTATATACAGGGTGGGCCATCTATTGGTACGTTTTTAAAAATGCGATCAAATGAGCATACATTGATATTTTTTATTAATTTTTTTTTTGTTGTGAAGCTAAAAGTATCCGCGTCAAGAATGAAAAACGATTTCGTTCATGTGGCTCCCTCTACTGGCCTTACAGTATGCCATTCGGTCACCCCAATTATTAATGACATTTTGGACTACCTCGGCGCCAATTTCACTCAAAACAGTCGTAATATAATGTCATCCACTAACATCCCTTTCTCACGAACTTTCCTCACCAATTTGCGTATAGCTCCTTCGGTGGGTGCTCTATCACGACCCATATTTCTTTTCAAAATTCGTACAGTTTCGGCGACACAGCACTGACTTTGAAAATAAGTTTTTAAAATTTCAAAACGCTCTTCAAGAGAAAACATGTTGTTTCGTGCCGCGGACGGTATGACTAATAAACTGTCAAAATTTCGGGTCTGTAGCTCGTTCGGTGTTGCCATACGACGAAATTCAAAAACGTACCAATAGATGGCCCACCCTGTACATGTATATCAGATAATCTGATACGTATATACATGTATATCAGATCATATTCTGCATAATATTAATATTCGTCACCGGAAAAGATAAAAAAAGATGTATGTGCATTTTTAAATGTGCCTTTTAATGTATCTTTTAAAAAAATAGATCTTATATTTGATAAGAAATCTGTGAATGAAACATTTAAGTAGCATCTAGATAATAAAGAGTATGTAGAAAAAATAGATGTAGATTATACTTTTGATAATTATAAGGCTTCCGGTCATTTTAGTTAATTATCAGACATCGGACAAAACATTATTAAGAATTATAATCTGTTTTCTTATACAATAGCAAAACATTTTTAGTTTATGCTACATGTATTCTATATGACATATAGCAATATGAAAGTTTATATACATCTCTTTCTGTTATTATATTAAATAAAAAAATTATTAAGTTATTGTTCTTAATAATCAAAAAATTAATAAAAAGAATCAGATTATAATAATATTCGAAAAGGTGTTTTGTTATTTCTAATCAGATATTATCAAATTATATTTAATATCAATAATTTCGATATTTAATTTTAATATTTCTCATAAATTTACAAAAATATATTATATTTCTATATCCGCAATTCCTACAAAGTGAAGATAACGGAATAACGTATGAGATAAAAGTGTCTTCTAGATAACTAAAACTCTATAATCTGGGTTAACACATTTTTGCCGCATTGAGATAATTTCCAAGAGACAATAATAAAAAGTGAATGCGTATTAGTGTTTTATTATCGCTTGTACAAAGATCGGATGGTTAAAGAATAGAAATGAAACTTCCATTGGGTGGGAGCGTCTATCTTTATTTTATTATCAATCTGATTTTGCGTCCGCACGATTCGAAAGATGCCAATGCTCTGCACTGAGACAAAGGATTTTGTTAATTTAACAGCCACCAGTACCTTTAACCGGTAATCGGTAAATATGTAACAACAAATTTTGTTGTGATTGCTGCTAGTCTGCTATATCAACCAATTATTAGTAACAGAAGTAAACTATATAGAATCTAACTTATTTATTGGATAAACTTTAGACTCGTTTACATAGAATTCGTAGATGATTGTGGAGTTTTAAGTCGTAGAAAGAAATCGATCAAGGACGTCTAATATAGAGAGAATACTTGACTAGAATTGGTCAATTTCTTACGATTTGAGACTCTGCAACGACAGTCTACTTTTATATATATATATATATATATATACGACAGTTTACTTTTATATATATATATGAACCTCTTATTTGCTAGCGATACTATTGATTATTTATCACATATTTATTTATTACATATTTATTTATTACATTGACGAATTAATTTGCAATCGTAACAAATCGATCGTTTTTTTTAACAAATATCACATTTGCTTTCCCTTGATTTGTTTCTATAACAAAATCATTTCTCTCAATATACTTTCCGCGAGCAATCGCATGACCTCTCCTAGGAATCTGTTTATCTCTCGATCGCTTGAGACAATTTCGTTGTTTCCATTTAAAATTGACGTAATTCTCTTCCTATCAAATCAACTTACACAGCATATGCTGTTTGTGTCTACACTCGCCACGGTCAAGCTTATAGTCGCGTTAACAATTCGGCTGCAACAAAAAATAATATGCTGTGAGGCACCGTTTCCTAAAGCAATTCCTAAAGCAATCTAATTATATATCATTTAAACTTCTTAGCAAACGTTAATCTCTTAGTCTACCGTCCGCGACACAATTCGTGTGTTATCTTTTTTTTAACATTCGAACAGCTTCGCGCGGAATTCAATTTATATAATACAATATTTTTCGTGGATCACGTATATGTTATCTCCTCCGAATACTTTTACTTAAAATATCGTTTTACTCGGATTGCAGCTGTGATAGTGGCGATATATTCGCCGCAGTATAAAAAGATTTCCTAAAAAAAACGTGACTCACGAAAGCGATACAAAAATTACATTTCATTATTGATACCGTGACAATATGCTTTACGTAACAATATCACAAAAGTTATACAAACGATATATATCTGAAGAGTAATCGCATATTTCAGATATTAATGCATTGCGTAGAATAAGATTTTGATATCAATGAAATATTGTTCCACTTAAAAAGGCTTCATTTTTTTTATGTTTATGTATTGTTGAAATTGTTAATATGTCTTTCTCGTCACATCTGATGCGATAATCGCAGATTTAATCATGCACAGTTTACACATACTTGTATGTATGATAATGATAACAATTTAATATTAATCATATTACGCTGAAATGGCAAGTATATAATATTTGCAAAGGAATGCGATTTTATAAGTCATTTTAACATTCTTATTGATTTTAAAATAAAAGTTAAATAAAAATAATAAATGAAGATTAAATGTCAAATTAAAGACATTTAATGCATTAGTAATAAAAAATTAATAAAAAAATATATCGGGGCAATGTCACATAGACATCCTTTAATTTAATATGAATTCCAATCCTAAAATCGGATTAGTCGCATGACCGGTTGTCTTTATTAATTAAAGACGTAGTTAATATCTTATTAGGTATCTCTGTACCCTCGTCATATCCTCTATTCCTCAACCGACAGTTCAGAAAACTGAATCCCGTCGTAAAGCAATTTATCATTAATGGAATTAAGCAGCGCGTTATTATGCGATTCACAGGCAGATGAGAATTTCGTGAATTAACTATTCGTGCTAATGTTAGTAAATAATCTAGGAATTGATTTCTATTATTGAGAGACTGATTCACTATCAGTTTTGCAGTGGCACGTATCACTGAGAAAAGTCATAGGTGTAGTGGAATATGATCGATGGAACAATAATTTTTTAAAAAGTTGAATGACGTTTCAAAAATTCAGTGATCGTCACAGAGATATTAATAAGTCTCACGCTAATTTTAGAATATAAATTTTACAAATTTTACCAATATAAATCTTACGCACAGATAAGTGAGGTCATTAAATGCTAAGCTATCACTTCAGTGATCAAGAGATCCAATCCATCATGCTAAAACTTATATAGGACAAGCAGAGACAAGCTTTTAAAAATTCTGTCCTTTATTATGATCCACTAACATAGACCAATGTGAAGTTTTAATTTTTTAATTTTGTGTTTTATTTAAGTATATGAAGATACACACACACACACACACATACACACACCAAATTGAACTACATATTTCATATCATTTCTAAATTAAAGTTGATCGTATGTTTGTATTCTTTCTTTCCTTTTAAGTTAATAATTAGGTTATTTGCGTTTAGATCTTATAAATATGTTGTCTTAAAGATCTTATAAATATGTTGTCATTAAAAATGTGAAAGGTATAAAAAACTTATATTACATTAATTAAGAATGGCCTATTTTCTTGTACGTGACATTTACATATCAATAGCAATACTATATTTAATAGCGATAGCATTATAGGGTTAACGTCAATGAATCTTGCTTTGAAAGCTGTATCAGTTATACCGAATCATATTACGTCATAACATGATACAATAATATACGATTATTTTCTTTAAGGAATATTGCATGTTTCGCTATCCCGAAGAGAACAAACATCCGAGATATGATGAAGAATGGTGCAATATCCAGTTTATTCCTTCAGAGCCAGATATTTGACATTCGGCAAATACCATGAACGACGCACGTGGCCATCATCCCATTGCTAACGTCTCAAATCGTAGTCGAGAACCCTCGGAGAGATCTGAATCGTCAGTTTTAGAGGGAAGCATGCGATGGTGATCAACAAGAATGAAGGGAGAGAAGAGGAAATTCGAAGCATATTCGGCTACCGCGTTTCCGGTCGGTCGATTCAATATGCCGGACCGATAAAGCCGAATGTCGACCGGGCAGAGACAATACGACGTTCGAGATGAGGATGGTGAAGGGAAAACGTTTCGCATAGCTGGTCTGTTGTCGGCGTACAACTCGCCGGGGATATGCGAATGAGACTTTAATATAGAATATTTGCTGCGAAAGGAAGATAATTTCCAAACCATTCACTAACTTATAGGATCAATTATTTTCCACAACTGTATAAGACTTGAAAAAAAAACAACAATAATCACAT